AAAACACACACACACACACACACACAATATTAATCAGCTAATGAGCTGGGTTAAGATAACCACCAGAGATAGTGGGGCTCAGTCCTATAGGGGTGTCTGGGAGCCAGTGCGGAACATCAGAGCTGTCACCCTGGGGCCGGGGGTACTGGGCACCGTAACGGGGGCGGGGGCATCGCTGTCCTGACGTCACGTGCTATGCTAGGGGCCGTGTTGAGGAAAGGGAAGAGGATGTGACAGGACAGCTACCCAGTGACCGCCCCGTGAGTGGGATTGTGGCAGGGCAGTGCAGCCACCATCGCCACGTGGGAGCCAGGACAGCTCTGCTGGTGCCCTTGGATGTGTGCTGTGGGGCACTGTAATGACAAGAGCCGAGACTTGTAGCAAGCGGCCTCAGGATTTTAGACTCCCAATTTTAACGCCAGGGACCAAACCACACAGGGATATTCCAGGGTCCCCCCAAAGCATCAGTAGGGAGTCCGGGTCCTGACCACCAGGAGGGATCTGGGCAGCTCATAAATGACACTTGCTACCTTTTTTCTTTCTTCCAACGAAGTGCCACCGAGCTCTTGCCCTGAGCTGGATCCTGGATCCGACACTGGAGACACCAAAGTGTGTAACACCAAGTGGACAAGATGGCCAAGGCCCCTGCTCTTGGCTGTCTCCGTGCAGCCTGGACCCAGTGATCCTCAAAGGTAGAGAAGTAAAGCCCCCCCATTCTTACAGCTGATTCACCACCCCTGACACTGGGAGCAGCACTGGCCTGTGGTCTCCATCTCTTCCTGGCTATGTGACCTTGGGCAGGTTAAACCTGGTGCCTCAGTTTCCCCTTCTGTGAAATAGTGGATATCTAACAAAGGGGGCTGTTTTAAGAATTAAATGAATTATTGCAAGTGAGGTGTCTGCAGCAGAGCCTGATGCTGAGCAGATGTTAGCAGCAATATTTCAAGGAGTTGATCTGGTCTTTCTAGATCCTCCTCTGAGCTGACTCACAGCTGTCCCCCTATGTCCAATGGGGAATGGACGCAGGATACCCTGGAAATGACACTGGCTCCTGGGTGGGACCCTGATCCCTGGTTCTGGGCAGAACAGAGCCAGGTCATATGACTGAGTGATGAAGAACTGAGCATTTTGGTCAGGTAGACTTGGGGTGGCTTCCCTGCTCGGCTTCCTTGCAGCTGTGCAACTATGGGAAGGTTGCTTCACTTTCTGGAGCTCTAGATCCCTCAGCTTTAAAACGGCGACCTTAGATGATACCTCACAGGACGGTCCACCACTTACCCACTGGCGGCTGTACTGCAAACCACCCCAGGCCCAATGGTTTCTGACCACAACCATCTGTACCTCTCTTGCATCTGTGGCTCAGAGGTTTGGGCTGGGGTCAGCCAGGTGCATCTTCTGCTGGCCTTGGTTGGTTTTGGTGGGGGTCTTGTGGTCTGTGGACTGTGGGTGGCCTCACTCACTGGTCAGGTGCTTGGCTGGCTGCTGAGTGGGGTGACTGAGCCACACGGTCGTCGTCATGCAGAGGCTAATCTGGGCCTGTCCCCTGGTGGCAGTCTTGGCAGTTTCCAAGAGCCGCGAGAGAGCAAACCCTCTGCTACATCAAGTGTGTTACTGCTCAGAGTGGCCAAAACAAGTCACGTGACCAGGTGCCAGGGATGGAGAAACTGATAGGAAGGGGAGAATTTGGCCAGTTTTGCAATTTACCTTGGTTGTCTTGAGGATAAAATGAGACAATAGAAGCCATGACTGTAGTCCTGGCTACTCAGGAGGCTGAGGCAGGAGTGTCACTTGATTCCAGGACTTTGAGGCCAGCCTCAGCAACACAGTGAAAACTCATCTCATAAAAAAGAAAATAAATCTAAGCATGGTGGTGCACATCTGTAATCCCAGTGCCTCGGGAGGCTGAAGTAAAAGGATTGAAAGTTTAAACCCAGCCTGGACAATTTAGCAAGACCCTTGTCTCAGAACATAAAATAAAAAATCAGTTTAAAAACAATGAGCTCATATGCCTGAAGAGGCTATGAGCTTGGGATGTCAATAAATGAATAACAATGATTACATTTTTTTGTCCTTTAGGACTTTAGTATAAAAAGGCTGGTGTAATAATTATTAATAATCATTTTAATCAGTAGGTATCGAAGGGTCATTTTGAACTTTGGGCAGGGCCTGGTCTAGTTCTCTTTGTCCCCCGAGGATACCCCTGTCCTGTGAAATACCCCTGGGCCAGCCACAGGGCTCTGCAGATTCCGCAGGGACCCAGAGCTCACCCCTCTCCTGCAGGCCTGCACACAGCCTGGTGCTGAGGACACTGTTCTTGTCATTGGTATACTATCCATGTCTCTGCCTTCTCCTTGCACACAAAATGGCAAGTGAGACTCAACTGCTTTGCATTTTTGTTTTCTTTTGACCCACATCCCACCTTTCCAATGACTGGAAGCCGAGAGCTGTTTGTAGAGGCTTCCCCGTGGGCGGCTCTTTCTTCCGCTCCCAGCTCCCTGAAGGAACTTCCCTCGCACCTGCCTAGGGGGCTGCTCCTGGCGGCAGCCGCAGCTTTTGGGGGGCTCCTACGGAATGAGGGGGATGCAGCCGCGAGGCTCCTTCGGGTAAGAATGACATAGGCAGGAAGTGCTGGGCACCTCTGTCTACTGCTCCAAATATGCAACTAACACACAGCCCGTCCCTCCCAGGACCCGGGCTGATTGCTCCCCATCTGTAAGGGGGGGAACTCCTGTTGCGGGGCACCTCCTCAGGCCTTCCAAGGACCTCTGAGCACTTCTTAACCTGCACTGTCCTCCTCCAGGAAAAGGCTTAGTGCTTTGAGCCCAGAGAAACTCAGATCAGCACCAGTCGATCCTGACACTGTTGAAATCTGCATGGTCCAAAACGTGAGGGTTTTGTTTTTGTTTCTTGTTTTGTTTTGCAGTACTGGGGAGGGAGCCCGGGGCCTCATGCATGTTGGGCAAGCGCTTTGCCATCGAGCTACACCCCCAGTCCTAGAATATGAGTAACATTTACCCTGAGCATCCCTTAGACCTTCTTGGAAAAAAGGGGTCTTTGCAGCTTCAATCTCAGACAGCTCTCTCCTAAAAAGGACCGGACTCCTGGAAAAGGGAAGGAGGTCCAGGAAGAGCCTCCCTCTCTGAGCTGGCTCAGAAGCCAAACAGTTCTTCTGAGACCCACGTTGGAGCTGTCCCTGCACTGGGTGCTTCTCGTTGGTTCTCACAACATCCTTCTTTGGAGCCTGGCAGGGGCAAACTCCTGTTATGGATGTAGGCATCAAGGATCCCAGAGTTTTTGAGAAAATTTCCTTTGCATGCAGGATTCAGAGATGGAGCATCATTGGTGTGTTTGGAGATGGGATTGGGGTCAGCCAGGAGGAGGGCAGGGGCCAACTCCCCGGCTGCATTGCCTCACAATGAGACAATGGAGAAAGGTCGCGCTGAGAGGGAGGTGGCCAGGTTTACACACACTTTTAAGGGTGTGGAAGGTCTTTGGATTTTGCTATTAAGGAAACTGTCTGACCCTCCATTTTTTCTCCTGCAAAATGGGATTATTCTGAGGACGGTGGGATGATGTCTATGAAAACATGTAGTCCAGTCCCCAGCATCAAATGAACAGCTGCACATTAATGTGAGGCCCCAGCCAGGGACCCCAGAGGGAGGTACCAGGGATGCCCCCTTAGCCGGTCTTGACTTTCTGGCTGGGGGTTTCCAAGGCAGCTCCGTTCTAAAGGCAGACAGCAGCCCAGCCCCAGCTGTAGGCAAATGCAGTGGTGTCTATGTTTCCGCAGCTCCCCTCTTCCGGACAGGACCTAGGCTGGGATTCTTGGATATATTGATAGAAGACCCAGAAGGGAGGCAGGGAAACAAAGGACATTTTATTTGCGGTACAAAAAGAAACCAACGGGGGGGGGGCGGGATCCACAGGCCCAACAGGAAGGGGAAATGTTTAAATAAAATGGGATTCAGTCACTCTGTGGAATTCTGTGCAACTATTGAAATGATGTTTACCGAGAGTTTGTAATAACACGGAAAAATGCTTATTCTAAAATGCTATGTGAAGAGAGGAAACCGCTGAATTCTGTACTCAGCATAATCACCACCTAGGCAAAAATCAAGCCAAACAAAACCCGCACAGTAGAAAAGACGGCGCGGGGGGTGCACCACAGGAGGGGATGTCTTGGGGTGGCAAAACTGGGGAGTAGTTTTGTACTTTTCTCTATTTCCAATTTTTTTTTTTCTATAACAGGCAAGGCTGGTTGAAAGTGGAAAATAATCCAGACTTAAATTATTTTTTTTCCTAAAGAAGTAAGAACTCTTATTGGAGAAGAGTGTGACAGATACAGAAGCCACTCTGATCCAAGAGCAAGAGGTGATCTCCCAGATTTCCGCTGAGGTCCCCGCTCAGATTCCCTCCCACCAGGGCAGCTGATCACCGCTGTTTGAAAGAGCAGTCCCTTCCCTAGGCCTTTCCCCTTAGCACCTATTACTGGTTGGAAGTATTTGCCTCTGTGTTTGTTTTAGAAAATTCCTCTTCTCCTTTCATCAGGATGTGAACTCCCGAGGGCAGAGATCTGCTGAGTCACCAGTCCACATGCTCCATAAATGCTATTATTCCACCAGCAAATGGACGCATCCTGGCACCACGCCCCCTGAGGGTTTTTCCAGGTTCCTCAAGGTGCCTTGCTTCACCAAGATGTCCTGACCACCTCCATCCTTAACCCCAGCTCCAGAGACCCAGATCAGTGATGCTGAGTATACCAGCTCTGACCTGTTGGTAATGACGGTGACCTCGGGAGCAGTGAGTAGGAACCGTTTTGAGGCCATTAGAAGGACTTCTTCGGAAAAGTTGGGGCATCGATTAGAGATGTCTACCATGGGACCGCAAGGGAGGTAGATGAGCTGCGCTGCGTACCTCTGATCTCAGCCTCAGCTCTCACCTTCATCACGATGAGCACACCCACCATTAACTGAGGGCTGGGACAAAGTTTGCTGCCTGGTCCCCACCAAAGGTATGCGATGGCTTCCGAATGTGTCCTCACAGCGGTCCCTGTCCTTCCCGGGTCTGCAGGCTTTCCTGAAATTCACCCAGCTTCTCCTCCAGCTGACTCCTCCCCGGAGGCCTCCCCTTGGCCTGGGCCTTCTCCAGCTGCTCCAGCTTCCTGGTGGGCTTTGCCTCCCAAGCACACGCTCCGGCACCTGGCATCACAATGCCAACACCGCCTTTGAGTCTCCTCAGTGAAGCCATCCTTTCTGCCCTTGTCCCCTGGAGGTCCAGGCCTGTGTATTTCTCTCCCCAGGGGCCGGCCATAGTCACATCTGGCTTTCCTTCCCAGGCTCCAATTTAGGATGGTGGCCTTGTGTGGTCCAGCGAAAGCTCTCTCCTCATCCTCATGCCAACCTGCTAGTTTCTCCTCCTCCCAGTACACAGAATTCCAGGGAACAAGAAAAAGTAGGGTTGGGTAAATTTACTCTGCAGACAGGAGTAACTGTGGGCACCTTCAACTTCCGCCGACTGACAGCTCCAACCCTGCCTCCTGGCTGAACCCCCAGCTCCCTCTCGGTCCCGCCCAAAACACCTCCCTTGAATTTTCCCAACTGTGCCTCAGGTGCTTCTGGGTGAATTAAAGGTGGGGCCCAGTTTAAGAAGGGGCGCTGGAGACTCCAGAGGGGATAGCTTGGGCGGCCTCTGAGGGCACCTAGCGCTGTGGTTGGATGAGGCTATGCTCTGAGCTTTGATGGGGTCCTGGAGTAGCCCCCAAGAATTTAGATCTGAAGCAAGATGGTGGTCTTTCCTGCTGATGTGATGTCTTTTGCCTTGGAAGGCTGGTCCCTAGCTTTAATATCCCATGAGGCAGGCCTCTGAGGCCCATGGAAGGGAGCGACCCATCCGAAACCCTGAAGCCGGAGGAGGAAGGGTTAGAGTTCCCCTCTTTATGGCCAAATTCCTGGGCCCCCAGAGAGATGGGTAGGAGTGAGACTCTGCCTTCCGGTGTGTCACGGAGGGGCTCCTAGACTCTGGTCTGAGGTACATCAGGGCCAGGCAGGGTCAGGACAGTGGGCAGGAGGGTGCCCCGTGGGGAGGGAAAGTGCTGCAGCTCCTCGGGCACAAACCTGGGTGAGATGTGGTCGGCCAGGAAGCAGAGTGTGTGCTGGCGCCCCACACAGTAGATGCGGGTGCCCACCACCGCGCACCGGAAAGCGTCCGGGTAGGGCATCCGGAACGTGGCGCACTCGTACCAGAGCCGCGTGCTGGCGCTGCAGCGGTACACGCTGATGCCCAGGCTGCGGTTTAGGTCAAAGCGGTAGAGGAAGCCATTGACAGCCACCATCTCGGCCGTGCGGTCCTTGCTGCCACCCGTGGGGCCAGCCCACCAGCGCTGATCCTGGGCCGAGAATCGGAGCAGCAGGTAGCGCAGTGTGCCACCCGTGACGAAGATCTCATGGGCGCACACCGTGGCTGTGTGTGCCAGGGCGAACGTGTCGTTGGGAAGCGGAGGGGCAAAGGCCCAGCGGTCCAGGCGAGGGTTGTAACGCTCCACTGTGTTCAGACACTCGCCCCCGATGGCATACAGGTGGCCATCCAGCGCCACCAGCTGGCAGTGAGGCCGGGCCTGGTTCAGCGGACTCACCTCGCTCCAGATCCCTGTCAGTGGGTTGTAGCAGAAGACACGGTTGGAAGGCTGACACCCTGGGCCCTGGCAGCCAGACACCACGAAGAGATAATTGAAGAGGCTGCAGACAGCACATCCCCGGGACACTGCCTCAGGGGGCAGCTGGGCCAGTGGGTACCAGGCATCCTGCTCATCGTCATAGCAACAGAGGCAGCCACAGTCTTCCTGGGGGCACATGTCAGCTACCACCAGGCATCTGCGGCCTCGGAGCCGTCGCTGGAGGATCATCTCCCGCTCTGCACCACTCAGGCACCCGAAGATGTCCGGGCTGCGGAGCACCTGGAGGTAGTTGTCGCTCATCACCTTGTAGGCCGTCTCCTTGAGGGCCTCCAGGTTCTGCCTCTTGGCCAAGGTCAGCACCTCGTAGCAATTGCCCAGATCCAGGCAGATGTCCAGGGCGGAAGCGGGGCTGAGCGGGAGGTGGAAGAAATTGGTCCCAGCCACCAGCTGTACGTGGGGCTCCCCACTGCACCCGGCTGAAGCAGGCAAGGTACCCTGGTCTGGGTGGTCCGGAGCAGGCGCCCCAAAGCTGTTGGGCTGGACCTGGAGCTCTGGGTTCTCTGAGATCTGCAGGAGACTCTCCTTCCTGCTGAAGCCGTGTGTAGGGGGTGACTGCAAGGGGTGCGGGGAGGCAATGGCTTCGGCCCCACCCTCTGTGTCACCAGCTTGGTCTCTGGAGGATGCTCCTGTGTCCGGGGGCTCCAGCACTGGCCCAGGGGTGGGAGCTTCAGCCAGAGCTGCTGTGGCCTGGGAGGTGGATTCCACATAGTAATCGTACACCTTGCCCTTCAGCTGGGGCCCTGCCCCCTCCGCCTTCTGGATGAAATTCTCTTCCATTCGGACCCAAGCCGTGGACGAGAAGGTGTAGGAAGCATTGGTGGCTCCCTCTAGCTGCTGCACAGCCAGGCCCATGTCTGAGGCAGCCTGGAGTGTCCCAGCCTCTTCCCTGCTCACCCCGGCCACATGGCTGAAGGCCCAGCTCTGTTTCATGTCACTGCTGTCTTCTACGGGGGCCGCGCAGCTATGGGTGGGTCCCAGCTCCCCTGGCCCTGGTTGCTCTGGGGGTCCACTGTCTGGCCATGCAGCTGGCTCACCACCCACACAGCTGCCGTCCACTGCTGCAGCAAGCTCAGCTAGCGAGCTGCAGGGAGGGGTGAGCTTACCGCCAACAGCTGTTCCGGCTTCCTGGCCACAGCAGCAAGGAGGCACCTGCTCCGGGCCCTGCCTGTCTGTAGTCGGGAACTTCCTGTCTCTGCTAGTGGCTCCCAGGACCAGGACACAGGGGCCTCCTGGGTCCTCCCAGCTGCGGCCCAATGGCGCTCCGGCCTTGTGGCTAGTACTCTGACGTCTCAGCCGCCTCTGAAGTTTCCCTGGAGAAGCACTCTGGACAGCAAGCCGCCCCGAGCCCTCTGCTTCCTTCTCAGCTTTGGCCTCAGTGTTCCCACCCTTCTGCTGTGCCTGGGCAGGCCTCGACTTGTACAGCCTGTAGGCTGCCGTCACCAGGAGCAGCGCAGCAGCGGACAGCACCACCTTGCTCATGAGCTGCATGTCCAAATGCCCGTCCTGGGCCTCCGCTTCTCTGGGGAGCATGTTTCTCAGGTGGACCCAGGCCCAGGAATGTCAAGAATCTGATTAATGATTGCCCAATAGGGACCAGTTCCTGGATCCTGCTGGGTCAAGTGGGAGGGTGTCCTGGGCTGGCTCAGGCCAGCCAGCTGAAGAGTTGGAGCAAAGGTGACTGAGCTGGCACAGAGTAGCCACTGGGGCCAGATGGGGCAGATCTCAGCGGCTGCCTCCTCAAGTCCTTCCCTGGGAGAGTCCTTCCCTGGGAGTGTGATGCGGTCTGTTCCGAGACTCAGCCTGAGATCACGCGGGCTGGCCTGGGAAGAGGGAGGGAGCTCTTAACCAGATGGTCAGCTCAGGCCGGGACGTGCACAGGGTTGGTCGGTCTGTGTATCTGCTTTGTTTTCTCTTTTGCAAATGGCTACAATAGGCTGTGCGGGTGTGGTGAGCTGTGCGGCAGGTGGCTCCAGGGTTGGTGTGGCGGGGGGATGGGTCCTGTTGCTGTTCTGGGGTCAGCATTCAGCTGGTCAGGTGGGGACGGAGAAAGAAGGCTGGAGCCAGGGCCTGCAGCCAAGACACCTGACCGGCTCTTGATCGCCTCTGCCCTCCTTTCCTGCCTGGCAGGTTTTCGCTGAGAAGTGGGTGGAGAAAGCACATTGCATTAGCACCCAGATGGGGGCGGGACAGGTCTTCTCCCCCTCTACGGTGACTGGTTGAGGGAAGACCTGCACCCCTAACCACACTCAACCCCTATACCACCAGTGCTGTGGATCCTGTATCCGAAATGTCAGGCTCTGCCACTTACCAGCCGTGACTGTAGGCAGCGTGGTGAAGCTACGGTAAACACTCGTGTCCGGGCTCCCTCCTCTCCCTCCTCATCCCGCACCCTCATCACCGTACTCATCCTTTTCAGCTGGGGCTTCCCTTGAGATCATTCTGCCCGTGCCCTGGCCAAAGTCCTGGAAGGGTGCCCAGCAGCCAGATCAGGGGTCTCAAGCACTCGCTGCCTACTGGGGCCCCCAGGTGAAGTCAAGTGAGGACCACCCCCAGCCAAGGATGCCAGGGCCCGGCCTGCCTTGCCTGATCTGCCTGCGGACTAGAACAGCTTAGCGGTTAAGCAGTTATGGGTTTGGTCTCCGTTGTTAATAGTGTCGCCTTGTTGAAAAACAAAAATAAAAACCACTCTGGGGGTCCCGGAAAAAAATACATGCTGGGTGAATTTGGTGCTGAAGACTTTGACCTTGGGAGAACATCCTGATTCTTTTTGCAAGCGTTCGCAGCCTTCTGTGTGCCAGCCTCCATTTATCCTTTTGAATTTATCTACAGATCTCTGTGATTTGGCCGCGTCTGGGCCAGGGTTCAGGCCAGCTCTCAGCAGGCCAGGCTGGTGGATGTCCTCCCAGCCTGTTGGACCCCTTTTCTTCCAGCTTCCTCCTCCAGCTTTTAACCTCCTGTCACCTAGTGCCCTGGGCACAGCGTCTATCTTCCGCCGGAGCCTGGCCTGGGCTCACCTGTGGGTCCTAAAACACACAGTGGGCTGCATAGCTGGAACAACCAGTGTGGCCTGCGCCTCACTGGGGTACCTGGGGAGCGCACCTGGAAGAATGGCATCCAGGCTCACGGCTCCTTTGGGGGGATACATGGGTGCCCCCACGTTTTGGCAGTGGTGACTGAATCTCTGAGGTCATCTCAATTTGCTTGTACACAGACACTTCACACCTGCTCTGTAGATTCCAGACTTCACAAACCTGAATTTATCCCACCCGTGTGACTTGACCAGTCCCTCGGTGGCTGAAATTTCCCTTTGGTGGTGTGTGAGCTCTCTCACCTGCATAATCAGGTGAGTAAGGGAAGTGGGAGTGAATCCTAGGTGCTGTGGATAAATCAAGCCATTTAATCCTCCCAGCAATCTGGAAAGGGGGAGTGTTATCACTGGGCCCATCTTACAGGTAAGGAAATGGGCTCAGAGAGACTTGCTGGTATCACTTAGTTCTTAATTTATGACCTTTCTAGCACCCATGGTTCTCCCCTGAAAGGAGAGCACAAGGCACTAAGGGTAATAAAGATGACTTTCCCAGGGGCAGAAAATGATTTTGAGCCCCCACCGTGCCTAGGGTACCACTGCAATGGCTGGGGTTACTTTAGTGCTCTTGTTCCCTTGGTAAGAAATGATCCACACTGTCCTCTCAGATGCCACCACACAAGCACGGCCTCGGCCTCTTTGAATGCTACTCTTCCCCAGTAACGGTTGTGTGGGGCCCAGAGCTCTCTCGAGGGCTCCAGCCCACACCCTCCACATTGGGTACCAGTATTTCTACTTGGAACCGGTGCTCCTGGGTCCTGGGTACCCAAAACAGGCCCTGGGCTGCAGGAGGGAATCTGGATGAATCACTGGGATCAGATGACACAGCCCAGCACTGGGAAATGGATTCCCCTACCCAAAAGCTGGGGCATCTTCCTAAGAGGTGCTGGAGCCACAACGTTTTCCCTAGGAGAGATTAATGAGGTGATTTGTCAGAATCTGAAAAAACAGTCCAGAAAGGATTCAGAGTTGAATAAAGGAAAAAGAAAGGGACACACATCGATGGCTTCAACAAATATCACCAGGGGGCCCCATGCACTAGGCCGTAGGTCACAAAGGGTGCAGCCCCAAGGGTTGAAGGGACCGTTGCGCCCCTTACCCGTGGAGACTGTGGCTTAGTTGGGTAGGAGGCTGAGCAAGGAGAAGGTGGAGTAGGGAGAAATAGGAATTCACCAACACACTGGGACCGAATGGCGCAGGGGAGGGGCAGCATCGGATACGGCAGGAACGGAGGATGTCTAGAAGGAGAAATAGCAAAGAGGAACACAGGGACTCTCAGAGCCATAACAAAGCTCAGAGACCTCCCACCTGGAACTCGGGGCTGAGTGCAGGGCTGTGGCACTTCCTGTGATTTTTCCTTTGTTTCAGGACAGAGGTGACATTTGAGAAACAGATAGGCTTAGGGGAAGCCTCCACTAACCAGCCCACCTTCCTCTCCGGTTCTCAACAACCCGCCAAGGCATGGCTTGCTTGATGTGGTTTTATTGTAGTTCAGGTACACTGAGACAGATAGAGCGGGAAGTGACTGCAGGTCAGAAGCTGGTCACAGCACCTGAGGGGAGAGGGCACACAGGGCCGTGCAGGACCACCTGGGGAGGCGGAGGGAGGGAGGGGGGCAAGGGGGAAGAATCTGTATTGTAATTTGGGGGAGAAACGGAGAGGCAGGAGGAATGGGAGAGGCAGGGCCAGCAGATTTAGGATTGGTTAGTGTGAATAATTTTAGCAGCCTGGTGCATCTCTAGCTGCCTGATATCTGGGCCCGGACAGGACAGTGTTGGCCCAGAGGGTTAGAGGAGGTGGTCGGGTGTGCCCTCTGGATTGCTTGGTTTGCATATGGAAAATCTGTTCCTGGGTGAGTCAGAAACTGACCAAGCCTGGGGGTAGGGTGTCTTCCCCAAATCAGAGAGAGTCCCGTGCTGGAGTATCTAGAAAGGAAGCAGTGACACAGGGGCTTTGGGATCCGAGGGAGAGGCGAGGACTCCTTGGCAGGCGTCCGGGGTCTCCCTCCACCTGCAGGTGAACCCGGCAGGGCCCTCTGGCTGACTTCAGACTCCACAAATCCCAGCTTCCCCACCCCCAGTCTCTGTTTGGAAAAAGCGAAATGAACAAATGCCGAAGACAGGAGTGAAGTTAAAAGATAATTGGAAGTCTATGTCGGGCGTCTGTGAATGCGTCCGCCCGCTGCCAGTCTGGGCTCTCTCCTATAAACTGAGCCTCTTCCGCAGGCTCAGGGGGCGGGGAGCACGGGCAGGGATCAGTGCGTGCTGTGCAAACCAACACTCCCATCCTCGTGTGATCAGCTGTGCTTCCCTCCGTGCCAGGGCCTCGTGCTGTACCTGTCAGTCCAGGTCTGAGTGCTCCCAGGTGGAGGCTGTCTCCAGTAACGTGCAAGTGAGGCCCTGAGCGGTGGCCGAGGCTGGGAGGGGTCAGGCTGGCCTCTTGTGAGGGGAGGTGCGTGCACAGAAAGGCAGAGGCCTCCGAGGGAAGACTGGACTCGGAGGTGTATAAGAGGAGGGAGGGTGTCTTCCCTTTTGAGTCTGCAAGGGTCAGCCGTAGAAGGATCTTGGTTTGACCCAGCCAGATGTCCTGTGCTCCAGTTCCAGCTACACTGGACCAGAGGGGGAGCAAGTCTAGTCCAGCTGGGACCAGCTCACAGCACTTCTGGCAGAAGATAGATTCCTGCTCGTCCAAAAGGTCTCAGTGCATACTTGGCCGTGGTTTCCACCCTTGCCCTTGGGCCTTTCCTTGGATAAATGCTCCTTGGCACTTGTTGGGTTTTATTCCACTCAGCACCCTGCACCTCATCTCGAGCTAGAGGGCACTGCCCACGCCTACCGGCCCTGCAGTGCTAAACTGTTTCCCTTCTGGTTGATAAATCACCGCTCCTGGGCTCCTCCAGCCCAGCTGCTGTTCTCCTTGGTCTTCCCCACCACTCTTGGAATTTGATGCAGCAGCTGGCATTGCAAGGTGTGAGTCTGTTACCATCCCATTCCGTAGCTGAGGATGTTAAGTCTCCTAGAGGCACAGCGACCTTTCCCAAAGTCCCACAGCCTGGAGTGGCACGCAGGGGGAGCTCCAGGCAGTCTTCACTTTGACCTTGGACCCAGCACCCAGCACTTGCATGGGGAGGGGGCAGAGAGTGACCTCCTTTGTCCCCTTATATCCCGGATGAGCAGAGACCAGGTGCAGACAATAGCAGGACTTAGGGGAGGGCGAGGTGGGCTGCAGCTGCTGGGAAGAGGGTCTGGTCCAGAAAGAGAGTTTTGAAGGCTCGGGACTGCCAAGGGCACAGAGAGATGTGCTACTTACAATTGCCGCCACACAGACCATTAGGAAATGGAATAATGGCATGAGACACGTGCCTGTGAATTTGATGGGGAAATTGAATGTGAAACGATTCGTGGGTGCTGTCTGACATGGCTGTGTGCATCCTGATTTTTTCCTCTTGGGCTGGAAGGAGTTGAAGACAAGGAAGAGTCCTGAGCGTCAGCACTGGCAATGAGGCCCTGCCCATCTGCAGAGACCGGCTGTTGCAGAGGGCTCGGGGCTGGGGGCCAAGCCAGAGCGACAGTGACAATATCAGGATCTGGTGTTCAAGTGCTTCTCTGAGTCCTGCCTTGGCTCGGTAAGGCTGCAGGTACCAGCTCTAACCCCTC